TGGAGGCCGGAGAGATGAAAAATTAGCAACCGCCTTTGCCGGGAATCGAACCACGGATCTCTGGAATATCGGCCCAGCGTGCAGAACTACTACACCGCGAAGACAAGCTAGGAAAGTGAGAGAAGTACCTTACATACTCCCCTTTTCAAGGGGCAACTGGGGTTTTCAGGGGACCCAATCTCCAAATCCTGGGTGTGGAGAAACCTCATCCAACAACCTTTTAGTTCGGGCGCCACTGTAGAGACATTAGGTATTGTTTTGGAAACCGGAGTGATGAAAAATGAGCAAACGCCTTCGCCGGGAATCGAACCACGGACCTCTGGAATACCGGCCCAGCGTGCAGAACCACTACACCGCGAAGGCACGCTAGGAAAGTGGGAGAAATACCTTACAAAGTAGTTAAGGGATTTTCTCCACTTTTCAAAATGCTGTGAAAATAAGCACACTAATTTATTGAAAGTACATGTATTTGATAATAGTTTTTAATATACGTAATTTCAAAAAAACGTTTCGGTGTCCTTTTTTAATAACCAAGTATAATGATTTTTCGGATTGGCCTCTAGAAATGGTGCTTCTAAAGCCTTAGGCGCGGGCTGAAATCTGGAAGAAGGCCTGGATGTTTTTAAGTATTAGTATCCTTGCGGTAAGAGGGCGTTTAAAATATGCCCAGCCGAAAGCTCTCCGAAGTGGCTTGGTGATAGTGAAAGAGGGCCAGGAAACCCTCAAATCCGCCACCTCATTAGCTGTCATCAGAACAAGTTATATCAATCGGGGGAATCTCATCAGGAAACCTGCCATATCAAACGCATCTGTTCCTTATTTCTGTAATAATATTTGTTCGTCCTGCAATAATATTTTCTCTGTAATAAAATGCTTAAAAACACCTCGTAAGGTTTATGCTAAATTTGTAACAGCTATTTTTAAGTTTATACACCTTTCCTATCTCGCCTAGTTTCAGCTTACAATTCCTTACTGTGTCGTTGTGTGTGACAATTCCTATTTAACTAGATACCTACAAGTATCAAATCAATTTACATCTGCCCAATACTTGATGGCCTTGAAATCGATATATCTAGTACATTGCTTAAAAAGAATAATAAAATACACTCATGTCCATAAATTAAAGATAAGGTAAAGGAAGAGTTAGAAGCAAAACAAATTTGACTTATTTTGTAAAGCTTATTTATTAAACAAAAGGTAAAGAGCAAAAAAAAAAGATGCTATGTTTGATATTATTAAAAAAATTAGCGATTTTTTCTCCCTGGAGCAAATTACAAAAAAAAACTTATTTACAAAAAACCAATATTATATGGTTGGTATAATTGTTAATACATTGTATGTCTCCCAGACGATGCAATACAGTCCGTACAACGCCTAGGCATGCTGAGTATCAAATTATCGATCTGATCTTGGGGAATATTACACCACTCAAAAAGCAATGCTCTCCGAAGTTCCGGTAGACATGTAGGAGGAGGTTGACGGGCTGCAACTCTTCGGCCAAGCATGTCCCACACGTGCTCTACTGGATTCAAGTCCGGTGAGAATGCTGGCCAGTCCATACGGGTGATATCCTCCAATTGAAGGCATTCGCTTACGATGTTTGCACGGTGAGGACGGGCGTTGTCATCCATAAACACAAATTGTGCGCCCATGGCGCCCCGAACCAAACGTACATGTCGTCCAGAATGACGTCCCGATAGATTTGGCTTGTCATGGTTCCAATCTGAACATGCAGGTCAGTTCTGGAACCCAGAATAATTCCATCCCAAACGAGCACTCCTGCACCACCGTAACTGTGTCGTTCAATAATGTTTTCTTGGTGGTAACGGGTACCTGGAGCTCTCCATATGAAAGTCCGGCGAGAATCAGACTGCAAGCTAAACCTGGACTCGTCGGAAAACATTTACACAAGCCCACTGTTGCGGCGTCCACAATGCACCAGGCTAACCACAGGCGACAATGAGTTGCAGTAAGTGGAACGCATCTGACAGGTCTACGAGCATGTAGACCAATCTGCCCTAAGCGTCTGTACACGGTGTGCCTTGAAACTGTCGCACCAGTGGCTGAAGAGAGCTGACGAGACAGGTCTGAGGCTGTGCTCCGCCTGTTTCTTTTAGCAGTAACTGCCAAATACCGGTCCTCATTCGGCGTTGTAACTCTGGGGCGATCTGTGCTGTAACGTCTACTCACATTACCATCATCTTGGAATCGTTGCCAAATCTTGGAGATGACACTCTGGGCAATTCCAAGTTCGTCTGATACTTCCAGTAGGGTACGCCCACATTCCAGACGGCCGATAATTCTACCACATAAAAAATCGTCCAAATGCGTCCTTTGTGTCATAATTATCCTGTTTGAATGCTTATAAAGCGCCTAAGAACAATTTTACTTCTTTGCCTGTATTCCTTATATATCACTCTCTTACACTCTCGTCATTGTGACGTACCATCGGTGTCATCTGGTTACTTCCTGAAATTTGCATATGATTCTTGAAGATGTGTGTAGTGATTTTACAGGTGATGTATTTGTTTTAGAGTTCGATTTCCGCGTGACTCCGAATTATCCTTAATTTATGGACATGAGTGTACTTCACTTACCCATAAACATGTCAAAAAGGAGACTTCAGAGAACAACTTGTTTGCTCAATCTCACTTTATTGAATTAATTATTAATATTTAATCTGGATTAAATATTCAGCTTGAGAACATAGCACACAAAAAATATAAGAACGCGAAAACAGAATACAAGAACACAAGAAGGACGGCGCCGTTTAGCGAAGATCGGAAGTAAAATTCAAATCTGTTGCCATCGTGCACTTTGCTTACTGGAAATATTTTTACGTTAAATCACACATATTGCAGATGGAGCTTTACACACGTGCAGATATTTCGTTTACACACATTCTTCTGTTCATCACAAGGTGACTAACACGAGGAGGCGAGGCGATGATAAATGGCAGCACTTTCTTGATGCGAAACACACATTTAATAATTTACTTGAGGATGGATTAAATATTAGCACGGCATCAAGACAGATTAATTTTCAACTAATTTGTGCAATTTTTAGGCTGCTTCCCTCCTTCTTTTCCATCAAAAAGAAACATCATTCCATGAGCGTGAAATATGCAAGCGCGCAGCCCAGCATACTCGTGCGAGCCGAAGTCAGGAAAGAGAGAGAGAAAAACTTGTTTGGCGGGTGTTTATATGCACGTGCAAGTTCTGCGATTGCGATTAATGTTACGATAGTGTCCATGCTGATGAACTGCGTGGTGTGAAAAATTTTCATTCTCACACTTACCAGAATGAGTTTTTAGAATCGCGTTAAATGCAAATGAGAAGGAGTGGTATTTAAGTCGAACTTCCACTGACTTCGAGAGAAAGAATTAGAATTTCTGAATAACTCGCGTTTGCCTTTTGGATACGTCTCTCTAAGCTGTTACTACGCTCGGCCGTATTAGGTGCCCTTGAAGGCTTGGCTAGATAATTCGATATTTAGGGGGGCAACTAATTTAGATTTGTGTTAGCTTCGGCTAAATCTCTTTAGTTACTCATTAGTTAGCTCTTATTTTTTACACTTTTAAGCCCAAGTGAAGGCTTTGCTGTACGCCCTGAGAAAGGGGCCTGACTGAAGCTATGAGCAATAAAGGGTAATTAACTCTTCTTGAGTTTCGTTTCTATTTCTGAACTTAGCGATTTTCACTTAGCTGTTCATTAGATTCCTCAACACTGAATTAATAGATAAAAGGGAGGAACACTACAACCTACAATTTTTGGCTGGAAGAAAAAAATAAGAAACGACAAATGCCACTCGCTCTCAAATTGTGATTCGTCATCAATGATTATTCCTATTAAATATTAATAACTGGTTTAGCAAAATAATTCTAATACCTAAAATGTCACTTTATAAATTTCGTGGAAAAAGTGCATACTTTACTCACAATAATAAGAAATATTAAACTTTGTTTATTAGCGCAAAGGGCGTTAGCCCAGAAGGCCTATTAATTTAAAAACTGCATTTTGCATCGATTCACTTTTCAAGCTGTTGCCACTAAATATTGTCGCCACGAATTATATTTGAAGAAACTAAAAATGAAGAATCTACCTGAATGCATGAATATTTCACGCATTGTGATAAAACAAAGGAACCTAGAGCCATCCAATTTTGAATAACATAGTCTTCCAACAGAACGTGGGCATTTAGAGCCCAAAATTTTGAATTTCGAATTTGTTTTACCGTATATTTCAAATTTTGTAAAACTGTAACGAATTTTTGATTAACAAATTCAACGATTTCAAAGCGAGCAATGGGAACACTGTACGGGGGGAAAAAAGACATTTTTACCTCCAGCGCGCGAGACTGTGTATCGGAAATGCGAAAGATATGCTTATAAGGTATTTCTCCCACTTCCCTAGCGTGCCTTCGGGGTGTAGTGGTTCTACACGCTGGGCCGGTATTCCAGAGGTCCGTGGTTCGATTCCCGGCGAATGCGGTTGCATATTTTTCATCATTTCTCCTTCCAATTAACCTAATGACTCTACAAGTGGCGCCCGAACTAAAAGGGTTGTGGATGATGATTCTCTGCACCCAGGATTTGGCGACTAGGTCTCCTAAAATCCTAGTCGCCCTTAAAAAGGGGAGTATATAAGGTATTTCTTCCACTTCCCTAGCCTGCCTATGTGGTGTAGTGGTTCTGCACGCTAGGCCGGTATTCTAGAGGTCCGTGGTTCGATTCCCGGCGAAGGCGGTTGCATATTTTTCATCTTTTCTGCTCCCAATTCACCTAATGACTCTACATGCTGTTTTTAAGTATTTTGTGACATTGCTGTTGAATTGAATTTTATGTGTTTTAAGTCTGAAGAACATGATATTTAATAAATGTAACTCACAAAAGTTAAAAAAACACCCTTTCCGGCGTAATGTAAAATCTGAAAGCTTTCAAATTTTCTTTTTTTTAATCAATATTTTTAATTTTTTTTCTCATAAATGTTTTAATATTCCAGATTTGGAGAGTTTCTTTACAACCTGGTTCTTGCAATAGTCTACATGTTTTCTTTCTTCAGTGGAAAGGATGGTACTTCAAGGCATCGAGTCACATTCTTCTATGTGCTGATGTTTTTGGAAAATATTTCGCTAATGTCGATATGGTTTGTTTATTGCCCTGTCCATGCAAGATACAGATATCCTGCCATGTGTATTCACTTCGTTAGTTTTCTTTTTGGTCTAGCATTTATGGTAAGCTATTAAATATTCATGTAATATAACATATTTTGGTACTTTTCCGTTTTGCCGGCGCAAACGATAATTGGTGTTGGTGTATTTAATTATGGCAAAGCACACGAGGGCTATCTGCCTACAGGGAGGGATGCCTTTCGTGGAGGACTTTCTAAGGGAAACTGGCTCGTATACACGTTACACATGGGGAAAACCACGAAAACGCCCACGCAGCCAGCCCGTTCGCGGGATTCGAACCTCAGACCGAACTACCAGTGTTCAGCGTCTTTACCGCTCGGCCGCTGGTGGGCCCCGCAAACGATAAAGTCGCCAATAATGGTTTCACTGATGCCAGACGGAATATCTTCGCTGGTAACCTTTTACGTCTCAGTTTCAAAACAAGTTGAAGCCATTTCTTATCAGATTGTTTCTTTCAATACTGGCATACAATAATATAGAATTTTTACACGATATTTAAATTTTATCCCCTAAGACAATTCACGGTAATTAAGTCAATTAGAACGCAATTACACCGCTCATCCGAAGGCGAAATCAAGTGTTAAATTCATCAATTCTAATGAGAATGCACTAGCGAAGTAAAGCACTGCGGTTTTACATAATTTCTGAGTAAGCTATTCGTACGAATTGAAATAATTTTTGCATTTAAACTTGTATTCCAAATTAAGATTTAACTTGAAATTAATGTAGATAATTACTGAGAGAATTAGATTTTAGTAGCGTAGTTTACGTGAGATGAGATCACTTGGGGTCACGTGATACGAACCGGCGAATCAGGATTTTGAACCATGAAATCATAAATTCTTAAATTAATGGCTTTTTACAAATTTATTGTCTTTATTTATTGGCTTTTTACAAAATTTTAAACCATATTAAAATGTTTATGCCTTCAAAATAAAAAAAAAAAAATTCTTAGAATTAACATTTTTTATGTGTATACTGTATGTTGTCGCCAACAAAGTCTGCTTGGCGAGATTTGCGCCGGCGAAACGGAAAAGTACCCAAAATTTTAAATCATATTAAAATGTTTATGCCTTCAAAATAAAAAAAAAAAAAAATTCTTAGAATTAACATTTTTTATGTGTATACTGTATGTTGTCGCCAACAAAGTCTGCTTGGCGAGATTTGCGCCGGCGAAACGGAAAAGTACCCAAAATTTTAAACCATATTAAAATGTTTATGCCTTCAAAATAAAAAAAAAAAATTCTTAGGATTAACATTTTTTATGTGTATACTGTATGTTGTCGCCAACAAAGTCTGCTTGGCGAGATTTGCGCCGGCGAAACGGAAAAGTACCCAAAATTTTAAACCATATTAAAATGTTTATGCCTTCAAAATAAAAAAAAAAAAAAAATTCTTAGAATTAACATTTTTTATGTGCATACTGTATGTTGTCGCCAACAAAGTCTGCTTGGCGAGATTTGCGCCGGCGAACGGAAAAGTACCCAAAATTTTAATCCATATTAAAATGTTTATGCCTTCAAAATAAAAAAAAAAATTCTTAGAATTAACATTTTTTATGTGTATACTGTATGTTGTTGCCAACAAAGTCTGCTTGGCGAGATTTGCGCCGGCGAAACGGAAAAGTACCCAAAATTTTAATCCATATTAAAATGTTTATGCCTTCAAAATAAAAAAAAAAATTCTTAGAATTAACATTTTTTTATGTGTATACTGTATGTTGTCGCCAACAAAGTCTGCTTGGCGAGATTTGCGCCGGCGAAATGGAAAAGTACCCAAAATTTTAAACCATATTAAAATGTTTATGCCTTCAAAATAAAAAAAGAAAAAAAAAAGAAAAGAAAAATTCTTAGAATTAACATTTTTTATGTGTATACTGTATGTTGTCGCCAACAAAGTCTGCTTGGCAAGATTTGCGCCGGCGAAATGGAAAAGTACCCATATTTTTTCTTTAATGTTTTTAAAAGTGATTTTCTTTTAAATTCTTCGTGATGTAACTATTTTTTTACCGACAAAGCATTTTGTTCTAAAGAAAACTTAACCCTTAAATGGATATAGTTGCCATTTGGCAATATACTCATATTTAGTGGTTAAATCAAATCAAATCACAAATTTTAGCTTACTGCATAGTGTAACCGACTGGATACATACATACTGTTTAGTTATACAGTTTACTTACACATTTCAGTGTAACTCTAACGGTGTAGCGGTCATTATCCTGATCTGATGTGTAGGGTGTGCACATCATTTGTGTTTACGAATTTTTGATTTTGGGTCTGTTGTTATTTTGATGTATTCAAAGTTTAAAATTTGTTTGAACAAGTTTATAAGGTATGTATTATTACACAAAATTGTTATTACATATTAGCCTATCATATTTTTTTGCATGATGTAGCCATGTAGCATCTGACAACAATAATATTTTTTTTAAAAAATGGAATAAAAACTTAGTTTAGATTTTTTTTACCATTTTTTTCTATTTTATTTGATATAATTCTAATGTATTTCTGACTTAAATTTTAAGATGTAGGGACATTAGGTATTTTTGGAAGCAGACAAGATGAAAAATTAGCAACCGCCTTCGTCGGAAATCGAACCATGGACCTCTGGAATACCGGCCCAGCGTGCAGAACCACTACACCCCGAAGGAACGCTAGGAAGGTGGGAGAAATACCTTATATACTCTCCTTTTTAAAGGGTTTTCAGGGGACCCAATCGCCAAATCCTGGGTGAGGAGAATCATTATGCAACATCCTTTTTGTTCGGGCGCCACTGTAGGGACCTTAGAATTTTTCTGGAGGCCGAAAAGATGAAAATTAGCAATGCCTTCGCCGGGAATCGAACCGCGGACCTCTGGAATACCGGTCCAGTGTGCTAACCACTACACCACGAAGGCACGCCAAGAAGGTGGGAGAAATATCTTATAAAGAAAATAATATAAAATAAAAAAAAAAATTCATGCATTTAAGTGTTAAATTGAAGTGCAAAAGCATTAGGTATAAGTTTCTGGCAGCTTCCTCGACGTAAGAATGGTTATAGCCAAATAATGGACGTGTAATTTTATTTGCTTTTATTTAATTAAGGGCGAGGCCCCGATCCAGGTAACCAAACAAATGTCTACCTGTACGGTTCCATTGAGACAGCCCGTCAAATAAAAATCGAAGGCACCCAGTAATCACTAGATGTGATCATTTTACCTATAACAGCACTACCAGCAGCCCAGCGGTAAAGTCGCTGAACACTGGTAGTTCGGTTTGAGGCTCTAAATCTGTGAACGGGCTGGCTGCATGGGCGTTCTCGTGGTTTTCCTCATGTGTATACGAGCCAGTTTCCTTCGAAAGTCCTCCACGAAGGCATTCCTCCCCTTAGGCAGATGGCCCTCGAGGCTTTGTCGTAATCACATAAACCAAACCAAACCTTTACCATATCCAAGGCATGTAAAGTACTAAGCTGCAGGAATTAAGAAATAAACAAGTAATATAAAAAAAAGAATTTAAAGTCAACAAAAAAATTTTAAATATACAATATTTTTTTTAATGTGAAAAAACTGTATTAACATGAAGTGTCATCCACTACAAGTTTTAAAAAATGTATGTGAACTTGAGTGAATGCATAAAACGTATTTTATTAACGACTGAAAATTTGAACAGGATATAGGAGAGAGAGTGAGTTAATACTAGGAATTTAAGAAAAAGGTGCATAGTGCAAGATTTGTGAACTTTTAGCCATCACGGAAATCGGCTGTGTTCTTGGTTGATTAATCTTTAATCACGAATAGATTGCAGCAGTTAGATAGTTGAAGCAATTTATCTTCAAGGAAGCGAATATTCTTCTGGTTACAAAAGTAGTCGTAACGGTGTACCGGAAGTATGTTCACTCTCTTAGCAAATATAAGAGGGAAGTGAACAGTGAACGTTTCCTGAGGACCAAAAAAACGGAACCGATCATGCTTGAAAAGAATGGCAATTCATGTAAAGCTCGGCAGTTTTGGTCAAAGGAAGCAACAGTTGTAAGTCAAGCTATCTATTGACGGATTATACATTAAATGTTACACTACATGAAGTTTGGCAGTCATTAATCAGTTTAAAAATCATTATAAACGAGCAAACGGTATAGTGGTTAGCGTCGCTGACTGCCGTGCGGAAGGTCCCGGGTTCGAATCTCGGAGAAGACATAGATGTTTGTAAATGTATAGTGTCCGTGCGGCATGGAGGCACCCTAATTATGCAGCGAGCTGAAAGTCCTCTCGAGGGGTTGGTGGTAGGGGAAAGGGTTGGGAGACCGCAGGACCCATCCCCCCGGGGTGCTCTCTATCAAAATTGGGGGGGTCGTAGTGTCACCTGTAAGGTGCTGAAGGCTGTGGCCAACGACAGGTGTCTACTTGCGCTCTTTGCCGCGAGGATTTTAGTGGGCTTGCGCGTGACCTTCTCCCTCTCGAAGGTCACGGCTTGGGCTGACTATCGGTCAGACAAGTGAGCATCAGCAACAACAACATAACAACAAATATTATTATTGAATCCATACACCTGATAAGATAAGACACCACCAGTGATGGCACCACCTGAACAGGATATAAGATGTTAAATTTTAGTCTCATTTCTAGTGGCGGAGCTGGAATTTTTATCACCTGAGGAGATACCTGAATTTGCCACCCCTTTCAACACAGAATCAAATAGCTAAATGTGAAAGTGATATATATATAAACTTTACGTGTATTCATTAGTTCTAACATTTTCGAAAATTATTATTATTTTGCTGTTTGCAAAACCATCAATGGCACTGTAGAAGTCAATGTCATTTCTCCATTTGCGATCATGCGGAGAGTATCGAAACATTTCTTAGATACAAAATGGTCATTTCCAGGTCTTAAATCTTCTTAAATGATTTTTTTTTTTTTTTTTTTTTTTTTTTTTTTTTACATATAAAACGTTTTTCACATTTTCAGCATTTGTGTGAAATTTTTTTAACGAAAACAGATCACTATGTTGTGTGTACATGTGCGTACAGGAAGAAAACAAGAGTAATATATTGTATATCGTGTACAAAGTTTAATGTAAGCGTTTTTGTATTTTTAATTTGTACTATTGTATTAATTCTGAATTCTGTTTTCAAATATAATTTTTTTCTTTTTAAATTGGATTTTTCTTTTTAGAGGGGCAGATATTTTGATAACGTTTACGACTTATGCTAAATACCGTTAACTGGAAGATCTTTAAAGAGTCCTTGAAATCGTTAAGTACCTTCCCTGTTATTATTTTACCCGATAAGTACCTTCCGTATTATTATTTTAATACATAGCTTTTTGCTATTGTAATTGCACTTGCATACTTGCCAACCTATGACACTCAAAAATCAGGAGATTTTTCACAATGTTAAAAAGACTTTTTAAATGATAAAATATAGTTTTTAATAATGAATTAACTTATGAGATACTCGAGAGGACTTATACTAATTCTTAAATGCAAGCAACACAAAAGAACCTCACACATAAAAAAAACATTTTTATTACTTGTATTGTTTAAGGAAAAAAAAAAAAGACACTTTAGCCAGTTTTCACACAAATGTTATGAACAGTGGAGTGTGGTGAGTAGTAGAAACGGTCTGTAGGCTTTGTGAATATGTGTGTGCACGTATACTATCCTGCTTGCGAAAACCTTCAAGGGTATGTGATAATTTGGGAAATCTGTACATAATTATAATGAAAAGGAGAACTTAAAAACATTCTGGTTACCGAAAAACTTTACTTATGAATCTATTCAGCAAGTTAAAATTATTCCGTTTATTTGAAATTTTATTTCATTATTCTTTTGTACTTTCAGTTAGTGTACTATCTACTACTGCATCCCACAAAAAATATCTCTGTTTGGGACAACTGGAGAATATCCAAATTGCAAAACGCTTCTTTGAAGGAAAGTAATGTCATAGAGCAACAAAATAAGGAAAACCAACCAGAAACTGTATTCTAAAACATCTGTACATGTAACTAAGTGATTTATGTTAGTGTTCTTTAAACTATGTATATATGTAAATAAATATGTGTAAATGCATATGTATGTATTGCTTACTATATTTATACGTTGTAACTCTGATCTCAAGATTTATTGCGGGCATTTTTCTTTCATATCTGAAGCAGAAAGTCTAAATACCGCCGTATATTTTAAAAGAAAAATTATTGGATGTTTTACAGTTACTATTATTTAAATTAACCAGGATTTTATTATTTGGATCTTTATTATAACTTTTCCTTTCCGTTTCCTCACCAGGCCGCAAATTAGTTAGATCAGCGGTTCCCAACCTTTTGAATAAAGTGTATCATCTAAACAAAAATTGAAAACCTTTAACACCACCACAAATCTTGAACAAAGCTCAGATCGCATAAATTTACTAGTTTTAGAGAAAACACTCGATGAGGATGTTGGAGTTTTAATTTCTGAATTTAATAATTAAAAATACTTTGCTTTTCTGAGTACTGCCTATTTTTCTCTTGCGTACCACCAGTCGTACGCGTCCCACCGGTTGAGAACCCATGAGTTAGATAGTATTTAAACTGAGGTTTGGGGATTGCAAGACGTGTTTGTGCTTTAGGCGAGCCTGTTACGTTAGTTTCTGGTAAGATGCATTTATTCAGATTTGTATAATTCCATTTGAATTCGATACGCTGGTTAGAATCTCTGAGCTAACTTAGATTAAAATTTACTTGCGTAGTTTTTGACTACTATTCTACGTATTAAATTCAAATTGACTGTTACTTTAGTTGCATCACCTCGAATTGTGGCTCATTTTGTTAGCAGGAGAACGCTTATATTCAAAGTTCTGTTTAATTCAAAAAGGTTTATTTAAACCTTTTCAACTCTTTGTACTTATTTCGACAAAGCGATAATTCGCTCTACGTCCATTTGTTTTGGACTAATTGACTTTTACCAGACCAAATAGTGGCGCCGGAATAAACTACGAATCATGTCGAAAGACAAGGCAACATGGTACAAGGACAAGGCAACAGTCTGTCTGTCATCTATATCGCCAGTTAATCTGCAGATTTCTGTTGCCGTAGAAACGATTCTTGACCCGTTTTCCGCAAGGGTATCTTGAAGACGAATCATAAAACTCTTTTCCCTTCAGCAAACAGTCGCTAAAAACAAAATAACAATAAAGCAACTCTTATTTGAAACATACTAGTCCTGTTAGTATAGCGACCGCCACCCGCCAGACACTGTGGCGGGCACTATTCTTTTCGTAGACAGACAGCAGTCCATCCTCACCCCCCAATATTCCATCAACAGGCTGCACCGGCACCAGAAAGTCCCATATAAGGATTCGAGTTCATTGTAGACAAAATGCGAGCGTCAGTGAAACTCGCAGGTCTTTTTTACATAGTAGAAGTTCGGAAATGACCTTTCTGGAACAACTGCATTCCCTTAGTAGTTGAGTAGACTACTAAGAGTAGTAGACGGTTGCAGAAATACAGAAGCATAGCAACATCCGCTCTTCGTGAACAGACCCTGAGATGGTACGAGTGCATCGGTAAATTTTTGTATGGAGAACCAGGCACGAGAAACACAAGCTGGAAGTGTTTAAAGCCGCTTCTCGTAAAAGCTTCCCTGTGGTGAAAGATGGGGCGAAATTAGAAACAAAACTGTTTCGTAGAGACTACACTAAGGTAGAAGAAATGACTGAGTTTATATTGCAGAAAATTCAAATCATAAACAACTGTATGGAATGCAAATGTTATCAAATTATATTGCCTAAGTATTTGTCTCAACAGCCTAGGCACAAAATTTGATATACATTTGTCTCAAATTCACGATTTTGATAAATTACAAAACACGAATACGGTAGCATAGAGCAGTTATTTGAACTTCGAAAATTATATGACCGTTGTGAAGTACAAATTAGAGGATTAGAATTGTGTAATATTTCGCCGAATTCGTATAGTACCTTATTGTATCCGATACTAATAAAGGTGATTCCGAATGACTTAGCTATAAAATTTAATATGAAGGTGATAACCAGATAAAAATTACTAATTTGCTAAATTTTCTATTATAAGAAAGGAAATGGAAAGTCGAGGGCGTACCGGATTTTTAAGTAAGCCAACCGATTCTGATGTTGCTGAAAGGAAATCTCATTTTAAAAATAAGCGGCAGTTTCGAGAACGCTTTCGAGACAACGAAAGAAATCGGGATTATGATAAGGGTGGCAGCATTCCGTCAGTCGCAGCGATAAACATATCTCTTTCCAATAGCTGCTGATTCTGTTCTGAAAATCATACTTCAGAATCATGTCAAAAAAATGTGCCGTGTTATATAGGTAAACAAATGTTTCAAACTATAAACCTTAGAAAGAATTATTTCAGAAGTAGACTGAGAGATGAACATTTAGCCTCGTTCCTTAGAATCAGTACATCTCACTTCGAACCTCAATATAAAGAACTTTTAAATGAAATCGCAATTTCATTCATCTCATTAACATATTTAATTTATAATACTTGTAAACTGTATTGAAAATTTTAGAAAAATTTATCTTGCCCGCCAAACGTTTTTTTTTTTTTTTTTTTCTCTGTTTGGCCAGCAACCGAAAAGTTTGCCCATCCCTGAACTAGTCTCATTTTGCGTAATTAAAAGTATCGATATGAAATCAAAATAGAAGCTTTAATAACTCCTGTCATTAAAGGATCACATTTTCATTCCCCTCGAAATGAAATAGTTAATCTTATTAAAAATCGGGGAATACAACTTTCCAATGAATGGGGATAAGGGAATAAAACATCAAAAATTGCTTTGCTGAGAGGATTTTTATTGGAAAATAGTTACGGGTAAGGTTCACAAACTGTCTAATTCCTTAGCAGGGGTTGAAAAAAAAAATAGGTTGGACCATTAGTGGAACAGAAAGGGCTTACGGAGTTTCGCCAACTAACACTATGAAGGTTATGATGAAAATAATAAGAACGAATCAATGTCTAGTTTGCTAAAGAATCTCTGGGAGCTCGAATCTATGCGGATAAATTAAGATTCGGATAAGGAGCTCGAATTAGAAGATCAGTTTTCGAGTATTTTCAAAAATTCTGTGAAACTGAAAACAATCGTTATATTTTTCGCCATCCCTGGAAACATAATTCAAACGAACTTTGAGATAATTTAGAGATTACTAAAATTAGATTTAAGAAATTAACTCGTAGGTTTCAGAATAATTAACAATTCTATGACAGACATAGCGAAATGTAATTGATAACTATTTAAGAGAAGGAATTGCTGAAGAGATTAACATTGAAATAACACCAAAAACGTATTTTATGCCCCATCAAGCCGCTATAAAAAAAAAAATAAGAAAACAAGACTCCGCGCGGTTTTTGACGCTTCGTCACATGCGGAGATTTGTTTGTCATTAAATGACTGTTTACATTCCAGTCCAAAGATATGTCCAGACATACTGGAAAAGCTTCTTAAGTTCCGTCAAAATCGAATTGCTTTTACAGCTGACATCGAGTAAGCGTTTTAGCAGATTTCTCTTACTGCTGAAAACAGAAACGCAGTAAAGTTTCTATGGAACGATGATGAATTAAATAGAACAAAAATAAAGGCTCTTCATATGACAAGGGTAATTTTTCGAGCAGCATCTAGTCCAGTCCGTTTCTTCTTAGAGCAACTCTTAATGTACATGATGAGAAATACAAGTCACAGTATATGAACGTATTTTCCATGCTAACTGAAAATAAGTGTGTTGGCGACTTAACCGCTGGAGCAGATGAAGAATCAGAAGCATTCGAGGAATCGGAACATATTGTTACGAAATGTCAAGGCGCGATGAGATAGCTTCCCTGTAAAGCAGTTTTAGGGTTGCCATAAAATGGCAAGGGAAGGCAGGGTTGCCACATTTGGCGAGACATCGCCCAATTAGCGACATTCGGCGACAAACTTGGCGATATGCCATGGACGGATGGAGAACCTTCTGGAACGAATTCTTACCGTTTTATCCCAGAATGTTCTCGAACACAAGCCGAAAGCTATATAAACCCTGCTGGTCCACAGTCAGTTAGTATCGAGTGTGTGCTTCATCGAGAGGGCGAGAGAGAAAGTGCCTCGTCTAGAGTGCGAGTTAGTAGTATTGAGTGTGGTATCTCGTCTAGCGAGTCGATCGAGTTGACAGCCGGGCAGCGAGTGCCGAGTAAGTCGTCGAGTGCACCGAAAGAGTCTTGTAGTGTATCGCGGTTAGTACATTGTCGAGAGAGCGTGCTGAGCTCCGGGAACGACTGAACAGAAGAGTCGGGAGCTGTGCTCGTATGTCGTCGAGTGCATCGCGAGTTGTAGCGTGGAGAGGCTCGAGAGTACGTGAAGTTCCGAGAACGACCAAGCAGAGTCGGGAGCTGTACTTTGGTGCTTTGCAGTGAAGCTGTCTCCACCGTGGTAGCCTGATAACCTGAAGGCTGTGTCGCTGATTGTTCCAGCAAGTGTTTATAGTAGATCTTCGACGACTGTAAAAGTGACTTTGAAGCTGTCCTGGTTAAGTATTGGCCCAATAAAAGTGTGTTTCGATACTTCATCTAGTCATCGTTATTGACTCCAAATCTACTAAACCCCGTACGAACGTGAAGGAAGAAAATAACGTAACAACTGGTGTCAGAAAAAGAAAATGCAACAATATTAAACGGATACCGAAAGAAGGTGGATTTAACATGCGAAAGTGGAAAACAAATGAAACGAATTTACAAAAATCTATGGAATGAAAAAGATTTTGCACAAGATTCAACATATTCTAAAGTATTATGGTATATTTGGAATAGATCAAATGATATATTTTTGATAGAAATTGAAGATTTGGTAAAAGATGTCAAAAAGATTGATAATCACCACTGAAAGAGAAATCTTAAGATTTATAGGATGTTTCTTTGATTCACTGGCGTTTTTAAATCCATGCACAGTTCGAGCTAGGATTTTATTTTAAGAACTATGGGAACGAAAGATTAATTTTGTAGGTGCATCTTATGCTTTTGCCTCAGTAAATTTGCAAGAAGTCTCTAGAAGAGAAATTGAAGACCACATTACTTGGAAGTTT